AGAAAATGATCCTCCGTCAGAGCTGTAAGAGATCCTAGGAGTTTTCAGTTATCTGCCTCAGCTGAGCGAATCGGTCCTGATGGACTGAAATGTTTCAACAGGTCAGTAAGGACAACCAGAGGCCTTGTAGTGAGTGAGAAACTGAGCAGGGACAGTTCTGACTGAGCGACTGCTTCGCTGATGTACGTCTCTTTATCGGAGGCTGATTCTGTGCTGATGTAATTACCTCTGCTCTCTATTCTTTAGGTGCAGGTTTGCAAATGAGTGTATGGAAATCTAAAGTCTCCATATGTGTGTATGTGTGTATGTGTGTGTGTAGAGTAGTTTCCTCTATCTTTCCCAGGCTCCTGCCACGCTTGTGTCACCACCCAGGGGACCAACCACCCCTCACCCCCCTACAGGCCAGAAATCACAGTCACTACCCATCTGCTGCACACACACACACACACACACACACACACACACACACACACACACAGTGTTCAATAACAGAGGAGACACACCCAAGAAAATGACCCTACACACACAAAGCTCCACACTCAGCCTTCAGGGGTGAACAGTGTACAATCAAATCATATCACGATATTGTCCGCTGTATGACATCGACAACAACTACATCAACAATAACAAATAATAACAGTAATAATACACATTTACAAATAATTACACATTTGGGTGTTGAAGCCAAACTTTCTCACTCATGTGCTGCACTATGTAGGGAGCAGTGAGCCATTTGAGATTCAGCCATAGGATTTTCAGACATATGATCTTACAGACGTTTCATACTGACCATTAACGGGCTTTTTCTGTTGCTATTTTCAGCCCTTTACCTGCTTATTTAATAATACTTTACGTTTGACGAACACACACACAATGTTGAACTGTGTATAGAAAGTTCATTGTGTGTGTGTGTGTGTGTGTGTTGTGTGGAGGAAGCTGATCCCGCAGGCGCTCCTGAGCAGGCAGCTGGAGTGTGTCTGTAGATTTTAGAGATAAGAGTGTACGTGTTTGTGATGGTTTGTAGATGTACTGATGTATATCAGTATGTGTGTGTATTCACAATGGCAGTGTGTATATGTTCTAGAATGTGTGTGTGTGTGTGTGTGATGGTGTGTATATATGTGTGTGTGTTTGTGTGTGTATATGTAAGTGTGTGATAGTGTGTGTGTATATTTGTGTTTGTGATGGTGTGTGTGTATATAAATGTTTGTGGGCATGTGTGTGTGTGTGTGTGTGTGTGTGTGTGTGTTTATGTTTCTAAGGCAGTGTGTGTGTGTGTATATAAGTGTTTGTGGGTGTGTGTGTGAGAGTGTGTGTGATGTGTGATAGACTGTTTGTGTGTGTGTTTGTATGGGTTTATGTGTGTGTGTGTTTATGTTTATAAGGCTGTGAGTGTGTATATAAGTGTTTGTGGGTGTGAGAGTATTTGTGATGTGTGATAGACTGGGTGTGTATGTGTGTGTTTATGTTTATAAGGCAGTGTGTGTGTGTTTATAAAGCAGTGTGTGTGTGTGTGTGTGTTTATGTTTATAAGGCAGTGTGTGTGTGTGTGTGTTTATGTTTATAAGGCTGTGTGTGTGTATATAAGTGTTTGTGTGTGTGAGAGTGTGTGTGATGTGTGATAGACTGTTTGTGTGTGTTTGTATGGGTTTATATGTGTGCCTTTATGTTTATAAGGCTGTGTGTGTGTATATAAGTGTTTGTGGGTGTGAGAGTATTTGTGATGTGTGATAGACTGGGTGTGTATGTGTGTGTTTATGTTTATAAGGCAGTGTGTGTGTGTGTGTGTGTGCGTGTGTGTGTGTGTGTTTATGTTTATAAGGCAGTGTGTGTGGGAGATCATAGAGGCACGCTTCACTCATTAGAATAACAATACAGCAACGATACGCACAGAGGACAGATCAGCATAAGAACCACAACAAACACACACAAACACACACACACACACATTCATCTCTGCGTCTGCAATGAAAACTTTATAACTTGCCTATTGGAGCCTGTTTGACTTGTCGTAGTGTTTATAGCTGTTTAAAGTATCTTTAAAAACTTTACAGTGGTGCTGATGGGAACCAGGAGTCACACAGTCTACAGCACAAATATAGCCACTTTATTTACTATCAAACCCACCAGTGAACCTACACGAGTCTTCTGAGTTATGAAATGTAATGTTGAAGATGGTAAAATAGTCATAAATCTGAAAAAAACACGTTTTCTTTGGGGACTATTTTGCCTGAAACACCCTGCATGTACCCCTCTGCCATGAATGGGTTAGAAAAGTATTTAGGCCAAATTCTCATCTTAAAGCTATTGAACAACAACGTCTCAGACATCAGGCAGTGAATTCATAACCACTCCATGTACCAACTTTCTGTGTGGGAGCTTTTAGAGGCATTGAACTCATGATTAAGCTCTGATTTCACATCAAACCTGTCTGAATGACCTTGTTTACATCTTATTGATTGAATCTTCTGGACATTTGGAAAAGTTGGTTTATTGTCGATTTGGCTTTAAAATGTTAAGGCATTTACTGAGCTCAGTTTAATGAGTCCTGGCTTTTAGCTTTTTAGCTATTAGGAATTATTTAATGCCAGTCCTTGTCGGGCCATCAGTGCTGGAAGTAGCAGTTACATGTGCTGAATTAAGAAGCGTCCAGTCGCAGGAACAGATGCTGTATAGGCCGGACTCTCTGGAGGAGGACAATAGCCGACCATGTGCCGCCTATTATCATACAGCTGTGCGTGTGGACCCTGACAAAAGCACACGCACAGCCCACCCTTCCACCAACCCCCAACGCAGTCTGTGCTTCACTGCACACCCCCTCCGACCCCCCTGAAACCCCCACACACCCAAAACCACACGACAAAAGCACAAAGAACAGATGAGGCTGAAGCCCTGCCCGCACGCGCCGGGGTAATTACTCCAGCTAAAGTGAATGGAAAGTGGGTGGAGCCAAGGACACCACCCCCATCTCTTTCTTTCCCCTTCTTTCTTTCTCTTTCTCTCATTTCTTCTTCCGGTTGGAGAACAGAGGAAGACTTTAGACTTCAACTTCAGAGAACAAATAAGCAGGCAGAATTAGCATTTAGCAGTGATGCTAATTAGCAAGGACGCTCATTAAAAGAGGCTGAAGGAACAGAGGTGTGAAATTATTTACAGCGTTAGCAGGATAATTATAATGACCACTTTCGTCCACTTCGACATACAAAGCTGTGACTCAACCGGACCTAAACGTTCATATTGATATTAATGTTACACATTTAAACTTCAAAAGTTCAGTTAAACTGTAATTTTCTTTTAAATAACTGCAAGTTTTCTGTTAATCTAATCTTAATCTTAACTAACCCGTTAGCTTGTAAATAATTTTGAAAATAATTTTTCATTATTTGGTCATTTTTAATTTGGTAATCTTCACAGTGTTGATAGAGGCTGCTCGGGTGTTATTATTGGAAAAACAGATGAACAGTAAATGTTTATTAAGTATTTCACATTGTCCTACTTACCTGTTTCTTGTTTGTTTGTTTACAGACGTACAAGCACCATTCTTAAAGCAAATCAGCAGTGTTGAAGAGTTTGATGAAGAATGTGTTGTATATTTTTGACAATGGTTCTGTATAGCACCTAAAAAGGTTCTGCTACTGTTACAAATGACAAGCTGGTTACAATTGAAGAACCCTTTTTGGTGCTACATTGAACCCTTTTCAAAAAGGTTCCATATAGATCCATCTACAGCACGTTCTCCATCAATCTGAAGAACCGTTTCATGATGCAAAGAAAACTTTGAGAACTTTGAGAGCCCTTGAAGAACCATGTTTTGAAGTGTGTAGCTGACTTTGGCCATAGTGTCTTTTTTCTGAGCTGTTATTAATAAACCCCAAAAAGATTAAATGTACATTATACACTATTATACATAACAAAAATATAAATTAACCCTTTATTAGATTACAGTGTATGTTGTATACGATGTATATGATGCGTATATTGTGTATATCATGTTTCATGTTCATTATGAGGTTAAACTGCTGGTCTACACGACAGCCTCCTTCAGCTTTCTCCACAATCAGAGAGCTAGAAGACAATTGAATAATGTTTTATGTCATTTTTCATTTTTTGACCTAATTTGAAAATCACTGTTGTCCTTTACACTGTGTGTGAATTTCATGATAAACGGACCAACAAAAATAACCAAAAATTACTAAAGACGTCTGGTTCCATTGACTTACATTAAAAGTAAAGCAGGTTTTTTCCTTCTCCTGTAAAGTTACCATTTTGGAGACACGAGGTTTTGTTCGGACAGCAGTGATAAGTAGGTTTACACAGTCATATGCAAAAGTTTGTGCACCCCTGGTCAAACCACATGCTTTGTTGGTTTTATTAATGAAAATACAGAGAAACTTAAATATAACAATTTTCTTCACATTTTCATGCACAAAATCTATTTATTGGCCACAACTCTTGCACAGACCACATTTAACGTTCTATTGTTATTATCAATTTGCTAAATCCAGCAAACAAACACTAATTGTGTATTGAAATGTGTATTATCTGTAGATAAACGTGGTCATTTATTTTCACATAGACAATCAACAACACATGGAATTTGACCAGGGGTGCACAATCTTTTGCACATGACTGTAAATGCAGATTATACACAGATTAATATATACATATATATGTCACAGAATAAACCACACCACTATGTCATTTTTCAGCGCTTGAGTTGATGCTGACAGAAATCCATTATATACATTTAAGCTACATTCATTTATATTGGAGCAAATGAAGCTAAGTCAGATTGGCTAACATTAGCATCTGGCCACATTTCCTTCCATTCAAGTTTAGTACTGGTGGTCCTCACTCTATGTGCCCTCTTGCCCCTCCCTCGCACCCCGATTTGTGACATCACCCCCAGGGTGGGGGAGTGGGGGTATTTAAACCTGCTCCATTCAGTTGTCTCAAGACTGAAGAAGCGACAGCAGCGTGAAGAGGACAAAGGAGCTGGATGTTTGGATACTGACTGCTGGTTTTGGAGCCACACGGATGTTTTAAAGCAGCCTTAACTGGATCTCTGGGATTAAAACGTCGGATGCGGACAGCTGGAGAGGCTTTTGGCTCAGGACCTGAGGAGATATGGCTAATGTAGCTTTGTGTTGCCTCCTGCCTCTGTGGCTACTGCACCTGGTCAGTTCAGCAGAGATGTTTCGCTTCTATTTGGCTGCAGTAACAGGACCGAAGTTTTAGACTGTAGTTTTTGAGCGTTAGTGTTAGTATTGATCTCAAATCAAACTTTTGGAGTCAGTTAAATGTGTTGGTTTTCATTAAGGAACTTTCTGCTCTCATATTCTCAAAAATATGTTGCCAAAAATGTTTCATATTTTAACAAAACTCTAAATTCAGTTATTTAGATTAGCTGGGTTAGCTGGATTTGATTGAACACAACAAATTAAACCAATGTAAAGATATCCAAGCAACCTCTTGTCCTAAAACTTAGTCTGTAACCTTTTTATTACAGTGTAATAACAATTATAGGCTGGTTTTAGTATTTGAATATCATTAGCATGATATTCAAACGACTTGCTGTGGTAACTTTGTTTTTGTTTATCAAGGTAACTTCACCAGCAGTGTTGAGTTGCCTTTTGTTAACTTACTACTTGAGGTTTAATGAACTCAGAATTGTGACACAATCGAGAGAGAGTTTAAAAAAATCATTATTTAGAATGTTTGTATGGTCTACATATCTTTTATCACAATCTATATTATGATAAGACATTAATAAAGATGTTAAAGGAGAAGTTTACAACATTCTGGTGTTAATTCCAAGCTTATTCAGTTAAAGGTGCTTTATTATGCTATTATAAATTAGTTATTATAGCGTGATTACGTCTTACTGTCATAAATTCATTGTTATTAGTTTATAGAAAATACTTTTATTACACCCTTAAAAACAAAGGTGCAAAAAAGGATTTTGTGCAATGTGAGAGAGAATCTCTCAGTGGAGGGTTCTGCAGAGAACCATTTTTGTAAATGAGATGTGTGAGAATGAGGAAGCTTTTAAAAGTTTAAAGGACCTTTGCATCATGTAAAGGTTCTAGGAAAATCCATAAGTTGCTAAAGAACCTTTACATTATGTGAAGGTTCTTCCCTTACAAGGTTCTTCACACTCTCACGTCTCGTTTACAAATCTTTTTAAAGCGGTTCTTCGATGGCATCACTCACTTTTTTTAAGATTGTGGATTATTAATGACTGTTTTTTGTTGTTTTTCACATTTTGTACAGTAATAAAGGAAATGATTCTCATGTGTGTAACTCTGTTTTTCCTCTAGGTGGCGTCCTCAGGCATGTTTGAGCTGAAGGTTCATGCGTTTAGCACCTCGCGGCGTTTCTGCCGGCGGCTGCGCGACTGCAACATCTTCTTCCGCATCTGCCTGAAACACTCGGAGGACGTGATCTCCGCCGAACCTCCGTGCACCTACGGGACGGGGCAGACGGGCGTGATGAGGGCGGAGCATAGTGCCATCGCCAACAGCGCCGCCATCCGCGTGCCTTTCCACTTCAAGTGGCCGGTAAAGCGCCTTTACATTTGAAGTGCTAGTGTGTGTTAATACAGTACATCACAATAGTGTAAATATATGCTACTACTGTAGTGGTGATGTAATGACTGACCCACCCACTTTTACAATTGGCCCACCTGTTTTTTGTCACCTTCCCACCCTAAATCCATTTTAACATTAAAATCTTTAGACATTATATTGTGTATAAATGGAAGTCAAAATGTTTTCTTGATAATTATATGAATATATTACTGATATAGAAGTTTAATATAGAAGTTGTATAATACACACTTGTAATTTCCAATAGAGTACAAAAGTGTGTAATAATCATGTAATAAACTTGTAATAAAGCATAATAAGCATGTAATAATCATGTAATAAACTTGTAATAATAGCGTTTTTGCTATATTCTAGTAGTGACAGAGAAATCAACACCTTAGGGCCATCACTACAATGCAGGTTACTCAATAATCCCAGGAATTAATCTGTAATTGAATCTTTTTTGTAATGTACGTTTCTTTTGTTTTTTTATTTAGGGAACCTTTTCTCTGGTCATTGAAGCCTGGAATGCAGAGTCACCCAAAGAGCATCCTGACTACACAGGTATTTACACTCACACACACACTTTTACTATCATTGTTCTAAAGAAATGTCCAGATTTTGAGTGCATAGCAGAGCATGGGGTCCTGTGCTGTTACAATAGCCAACAAAGTGCTACCGTAGGTTTTTCCTTGAGTTGATGTACAGCTACACAGGAATCACGGTTCAAAATACAAGCAAAAACTACAGTATTTTCATAAATTTGGGATCCAAACAATCCAACTCAGGTGACTTAAGTTTTTGTTGTGCATTTAAAAGTGAATTTTTGATGCATTTTCGTAGCAGAATGTGGGATAAATACATTTAAAAACACTCCGTTTGGCCCTCAGCCCCACAAAAAACTTGCCTTTTGGGCGCCTCTGTTCAGTGACGTCACTCCAGTAAACTCTTTTTGCACCTTCCTTGTTGACAGTGTACATCTGTGTGGTTTCTCTTTCCAGAGAACCAGAATAACCTGATTAGCCGTTTAGCGACGCGGCGGCGGTTGGCCATCGGGGAAGACTGGTCTCAGGACGTTCACTTTGGAGAGCAGAGCGAACTGCGCTACTCTTATCACGTCTTCTGCGATGAGTTTTATTATGGAGACGCGTGCTCGGATTACTGCCGGCCTCGGGACGACACGCTGGGACACTACACCTGCGACGAAAGTGGGAACAAGCAGTGTCTGGACGGCTGGCAGGGGGACTACTGCTCTGACCGTGAGTAAACTCCTTCACTGCTTCAGCACTGGACTCAGATATTAGTCTAAACTGTGACAGAATGTTCACTACAGACCTGAGGTTTGGAAGCAAAACTTCAGTAGGGGACAGTAGGAGTCCTGCCCACCTTTAACTGACAGTAATGTATATATATATATATATATATATATATATATATATATATATATATATATATATATATATATACATAGATATATATTTTTAAGCATAGAATGGATCAAATCATAAATATTGTCTAAAACAATGATGCTGAGATATAATTTAGCTCAGAATGATGATAAATAACAAAGAAAATTACACAGATTTACACACTCAGCAACTAAATATAAAGAAATTTGCAGGCAATTTTTTCCACACCTCCAAAGTTCAGTATTAGATGTTGGTTGCCTTTCAATTCCAGTCAAAATGTCCATTAAGTACAAATTAAGGCCTGGTAGACCCCAAAACTGCCCCCATCAGATAAACAGCACTTCAAGCTTTCATCTCTGAGAGAGAGGAGAAAATCAAGCTGCTTCAGATCTGAAAACATCCACAGGTGTTTCTGTCCATCCTTCCACTGTGAGAAGACGACTCAGCGCTGTGGGTCTGAAAGGATGTGTAGCTGATCAAGAAGAACCTCATTGAGAAAAGGAGACGGACACATCAAACAAAGAAGCTGAACAATGGACTGACCACCCCAGAGTCCAGACCTCAACACCACTGAATGTGTTTGGCATTAGTTGGATAGAAATAAGTTTTTAAAAAAAAGGTTAAACCAACTTCTTAGGCTGAACTTTGGAGGCGTGTCTGCAGATTTATTTGGGAAACTGAAAGTGAGTCTCCTGAAAAGAGTGGAAGCTGTAATAAAGGTGAAGGCTGTTTTTGACCTATGTAGTGTGTGTGTGTGTGTGTGTGTGTGTGTGTGTGTGTGTGTGTGTGTGTAGGAAGCTCGTTGAGTTCTTTTGTTTGTGTGAACAATAGAAGCGCAGCACAGGACTCACTAAACACATGCTGGAGACTCGTTCAGTGTGTGTGTGTGTGTGTGTGTGTGTGTGTGTGTGTGATCACAGAAACAAAAGACTGTCAGCTCACCAGCTGCCGGCCTCAACACTTAACACTCCCATTCATCTGCTCACATTCACCAGGGCGTGGAGAGTGTGTGTGTGTGCGTGTGTGTGTGTGTATGCGTGTGTGTGTGCGTGTGTGTGTGTGTGTTTTTGTACACTTTCTGGTTTTGTGCTGTTTATCTGATGGGGACAGCGTTGGTGTCTGCCAGGTCGTCTGGGTGGCTGTTAGGAGTCCCAGTTTTCTCTGTAGCTTTTAATCATTTTTGAATTCTACTTTGGAAACTTTTTCCCTGTATTTATTTTCTTAGTTTGTCTTCTATCTGATTAATTTAGAAGTATCTCATAAAAATATGAATATGAATAATCTGTACTTAACTCAAAATTAAATACAACCAACTTCTAAGACTGAACTTTGGAGGTGTGGAAAAAATCCCTGCAAAAGAATGAAAGCTGTAATACACAATCTGTATTAGTATCAGTATCAGTGCTAAATACTGTTTTTTCTCTTTGGCTTCCTCCTTCCTTATCTCTGCAGAAAATCTCTTGAAAATGAAATAACTTACACTTAAAGGCTGTTTTACTGGAAACTAAGTACCGAAGGTTGATCTCTGTTTTATTAATACATACAGATATTTACATATGTAATACATATGGGATGTGTATGACCCCACGTCTCAACATTGTATATAAACAAGCACGTGAGTGTGTGTGTAACCCCTCCGCTCCTCCCCTCCTGCAGCCATCTGCTCGGCCGACTGCAGCGATCGCCACGGTTACTGCGAGTCTCCTGGGGAGTGTAAAGTGTCGTCTGGGCTGGCAGGGTCCGTCCTGCAGCGAGTGTGTGAGGCACCCCGGCTGTCTCCATGGCACCTGCACGCAGCCGTGGCAGTGCGTGTGTAAGGAGGGCTGGGGGGGACTCTTCTGCAACCAGGACCTGAACTACTGCACCAACCACCGGCCCTGCGCTAACGGGGCCACCTGCACCAACACGGGCCAGGGCAGCTACACCTGCACCTGCAGGCCAGGCTATGGCGGCACCAACTGCGAGCTGGAGATCAACGAGTGCGACTGCAACCCCTGCAAGAACGGAGGCAGCTGCAACGTGAGTCCGCAGGGAAATGCAGCGTTACCGGTGTAAAGTTCTAGCTAACAGCTCCTAAATAGAGCACTGCCTCACATATGGAGAAGTTTGTGCAGCCCTGGTCAAATTCCACATCTTGTTGATTTTTTAAGGGTAAATTAGTGAATTTATTTTAGGAAAAACACACAAAATGTGACCTGTGCAAAATTTATGGCACCCTTTGTATTTTGTGCTTTATTTTATTCCAATATATTTTAAACATTGCAGAGCAGTGCCGTATTTAAGTGACCTGTAGAGAATGTGTTAACCGATTTTCACTTATAAAATCAAACAAAACTGTAAATCGACATGGGGCCCCTTTACATTTAACTATTTAAAAATGCAGATTTTTTATTTTTTTGTAAATTAAGTTGCCTATTTTTAACAGGTGGTTAACTGATCTTTTGCCATGTGACCCTAAATTTGACCTCTTATTAGTAACTGCAAAAACAAAAACATTACTACATTCGATGGTGAAAAATAAGAAGACTCCAGATCACAAAAAGAAAATACAGTCATTAAAATTTACTATTTTCCATCTCAGCTCTCATCTGCACCCCCTGAAACCCATTCACCCACCACCAGGGGGCAGTTTGAATACCAGTGCTGTGTAACAGATGGCTGCCGTTACTGTTTTGGAGCATTTCAACATATTTTCGACAGCAGTGTGTACAAACAGTGTCTATATTAAATTACTAAACAATGTTATCACTTTCAATAGATATTATTTATATAAATATAGATGCTGCAATTGTTTCTTGTTCACTACATTAGCCATGAGCTCCAGTGCACGTCCCAAACTCTGCCCTAAACCAGTGGGGTCTTCTCCACTGTTCTTGCTGCTTCCTCTGTTCATCAGTCTTATTTATAACTCTATTAGAAAACAATCTCTTTAGATCTAGTCTTAATTTTTCTCTTGTATGGATTATAATGAGTGAATATGGAGATGGTAACCACCATGTCTCTCTCTCTCTGTCTTGTCCAGGATCTGGAGAATGACTACTCCTGCACGTGTCCTCAGGGTTTCTACGGTAAGAACTGTGAGATAGTGGCCATGACGTGTGCCGATGACCCCTGCTTTAACGGCGGAACGTGTGAGGAACGCTTCACCGGAGGCTACGTGTGCCGCTGTCCTCCAGCCTACACTGGCTCCAACTGTGAGAAGAAACTGGACCGCTGTAGCCACAAACCCTGCGCTAATGGTGAGTGTGTACAGACACATGATCAGTACTGACCATCTTCTACATGCGCACCAACCAAACGTACCACACACTTAGCAAAGCTAAAAGAAATGGGAGAAAATAGAGCATGTGAGTGTCGTGTGAGTCAGTCTTGAATTATTATAGAGATTTTAAACAGTGTTATTTATACAAATGGACAAAAGGACACAGCTAAAACAGCAGCCATGTTGGTCTCTGACACTTGACGGACTGTATTTACATTGATGTGTATGGCAGACACTTCAGTCCAGAGTGACTTACAGTTGTGTTACAGAGGTAAGTGAGTTTAGCATTAGGATCTTGCCCTAAGGGCTCTTAGCATAGAGAAGCATGGTGAGATCTTAGCATTGTGTGTGTTGGTTGAGATTACATAGACAATATTTGAGATTACAACCTCAGATGACTTGAAGCAAGTGTGACTGATCTAGACATGAACTCAGCACAATGCTAATTGGTGCATTATGAGTTTCCATTACTTTTTAATGACTTTTACTGTCCTTGTAGCACCAGAGCAAACCTCTGATCTGGCTGATTGAAGACACTCAGAGTGTCTCATAGTTAAAGTTTACATCGACATACATGTTAAATTTCACATTTTGTTGACTTTCTAAGTGAAAATAAGTTAACACATCCTCTACAGAGAACACACTTAAATACGACATCTTACTGCAAATTTTACAGCATATATATATTTTTTTTTTGGCTGTCTTTAACATATTGAAAAAAAAAAATAATAGAATATTAAATGTGCCATAACTTTTGCACAGGCCACAGTTTATGTTGTAATCTTTTCCCCAATGTGTTAAATTCAGCAAATAAACAGTGATTGTGCATTAAAATGTGCAGTGTGTTCTCTGTAGAGGATGTTTTCACTTATTATGACTTAAAAAGCATGAAATTGGCCAGGGGTGCCCACACTTTTGCAAACAAGTGTTTATAAGTATAAAATGAAATGAGAAATAGTTTCTGAACGTGACTCACAGAAAGAAAACGACTCAAGACGAGGCTCCAGTTTTAAATACTGCAAAAAAGTTGATATTGAAAACTGTGCTACTGCTGACACCTAGTGGTCAAACCTTGTAAATTCATGTTTGTACAAACTGCTCTAAACTGATGTTCCTCTCCCTTCTTTCTCCCTCCAGGTGGTGACTGTGTGGATGTGGGGTCTTCCGCTCTGTGCCGTTGCCGTCCCGGTTTTTCCGGCCCGCTCTGTGAGCTGAACGTGGATGACTGCCTCCATTCTCCATGCCAGAACTCAGGCACCTGTGTGGACGGAGTAAACGACTACACCTGCAGCTGCACGCTGGGCTTCACCGGCAAGAACTGCAGCGTGCGGGCTCACGCCTGCCTCACACACCCCTGCCTGCACGGCGGGACCTGCTACACACACTTCTCGGGCCCCGTGTGCCAGTGCGTGCCGGGCTTTATGGGCCCCAGCTGCGAGTTCCCCGTGCTGGAGCGGTCAGCGGCCGCGGCCGCTGCTGCTGCTGCCGCCCGGAGCTCCAGGGGCTCCTCACCGTCCACCGTGGCTGCATCGTGTGTACTAGGAGTGCTCGCCGTGTGTTTGGGGATTTGTGTGGGGCTGGTGGTCCTGAGGCGCAGGAGGCAGAGGCTGCGGAGGCGGCAGCTGTGCGATTCTGTCTTCAACGACCTGGAGACGGTCAATAACCTGGACCGGCAGCAGCAGTACCCCTATGAGCGGGACTTCCTGACCAGAGCGGTCAGTCAAGCGAAGCCCAGCAACACTGAGGCCAGACTTAGCTGCCCGCTAGCTCCAGGGCACACGCTGCCAGCTGGGCGGGACTTCCTATGGAGCGCCGGAGGGGTGGGCCTGAGATAAAAACTCAAACATAAACGCGTTCAAAGGTTCAGGAAAACTAGATTCACATACACAAGCAGTACACATTAAAGCAGGGGGCAGCAGGTCTCTGGGGTCGCGCGTCATTCTGTTGACGTTGAGTCAAAGCTGGTTTTCTCTGCGGTAAAAATAAACGGCATTTTCGAAAATCACAGCTATCACATTCTGTGGTAAACAAAAAGTTCCAAAGCTGATGCATTTTTAGGAGTCACTGGATTCTCCGAATTACGAGGTAATTTAGCAGCCAAACTAGAAGTAATGCTAAATGCATGCTGTAAGCAAGCTAGCGCTAGTGTACTACTACACTAGTACTGAGTCTACTACTACACTAGTACTGAGTCTACTACTACACTAGCGCTGAGTTCACTACTACACTAGTACTGAGTCTACTACTACACCAGTGCTGAGTCTACTACTACACTAGTACTGAGTCTACTACTACACTAGTGCTGAGTCTACTACTACACTAGTACTGAGTCTACTACTACACCAGTGCTGAGTCTACTACTACACTAGTACTGAGTCTACTACTACACTAGTACTGAGTCTACTACTACACCAGTGCTGAGTCTACTACTACACTAGTACTGAGTCTACTACTACACCAGCGCTGAGTTCACTACTACACTAGTACTGAGTCTACTACTACACTAGTGCTGAGTCTACTACTACACTAGTACTGAGTCTACTACTACACTAGTGCTGAGTCTACTACTACACTAGTACTGAGTCTACTACTACACTAGTGCTGAGTCTACTACTACACTAGCGCTGAGTCTACTACTACACCAGCGCTGAGTCTACTACTACACTTGTGCTGAGTGTACTACTACACTAATAGTGAGTCGACTACTACACTAGTGCTGAGTCCACTACTACACTAGCGCTGAGTCGACTACTACACTAGTGCTGAGTTCACTACTACACTAGTGCTGAGTCTACTACTACACTAGTGCTGAGTCCACTACTACACTAGCGCTGAGTCGACTACTACACTAGTGCTGAGTTCACTACTACACTAGTGCTGAGTCTACTACTATACTAGTGCTGAGTCTACTACTACACTAGTGCTGAGTCTACTACTATACTAGTGCTGAGTCTACTACTACTCTAGTGCTGAGTCTACTACTACACTAGCGCTGAGTCTACTACTACATTTCCACACTGTTATATACCAACACCAGCTACTCAAACTGTAGCCAAAAAGTGCCAAAGTAGCTAAACTACCACATTTGACAAAACTTGCTGAGGTATTTTGGTGAGGTTACCAGCCTTCTGATGTCAGTTCAGTGCACAGAAGTGTTGGCATGTAGCAGTGCTTGTATTTTGGCTCCTTGATGACCTCACAACTCAGAGAATCTGAGGAAGAATGTCCATATGGAAAAACATTCGAGCTTTGGGACATTTTATTTTACCAGAAAGCAAGATAACTTTCGTAAATGAGGTTAATTTTTCTCAGAAAACTAGCCTAGGCATTCCTAATATGACCATCACTCCGACTACAGAGCAACAACTTCAGAGGTCCAGTAACCTAAGCAGGGTTTCTCAGCTAACTAGATAAGCTAAAGCAATGATTCGGCCATCAAGAACTGACACAAATCCCACCTAGACTTGCTTATGTGGTTTCAGCAATTTTCTCAGTTAACCAGATAACATAGCCCAAAGTGAGAACCATCCAATAGTAAGAAAATCTCAAATTTTAGCTTATTTTATCCAGCAAAAACTGAGAAGCCCTGCTTTATATGGAACAAATTCCTGCTTTGTGAAATACACTTTTGGATGAAAACAAAACTCTGATACGTTAACAGGGACCGAGGGTAAAAATGTGAAATTAGCACTTCTTTTTTCTCTCCTCATTTCCATATTATTACAGTGGGAGTGTTTACATGCACTCAATAATCCGATCATAATGCTGCAGTTATCTGATTATTCAAATGGTCATGTAAACAGCACACTCTGATTTCTTAGATGTGAGTAAGGTCTAGAAATCTGATTAAGAAATCTGATAAAGAGGCTGGATTTTAGCTCAGTAATCAGATTCTCAGCGCATGTGAACTCTTACTCTGATTTCTTTCGCATTTCTCAGTCTGAGCATGTGCAAGAACAGATAGCAGTACTGGAAATAAGCAAGCAGTGTTGCTGCGAGACGCAGCTAAAACACTTTTGGAGCGACGCTGAAACCAAATACATGCTTGATGAAATGTAGGATTTAAATATTCTTCATCTTCTAGATGATGTATGTTCATATTTTCAGATAAAGTGGCGTCATGTTTTTAAAAAAAGCCACGACATGAAGTTTGAGTTTTTTCTGTGAGTTTGTTGGTCAGTTGCAAAGCAGAAATCTGATTACTGTCTGATGCATGTAGACCAGGAGTTTCCCCATTATCCGATTACTCAAGTGTATATAAATGCATTGATCGGATTACTGACAAAATCTGATTTTCTGCAATTCTCGGATTAAGTGCATGTAAACACACTCAGGGACTGACTGAGTGAATGAATGAAGCAATACTGATGATAAAGTGCTGAGAATGAGGATGTGGTGAGTGTTTAAACGCTCTGTCAGTCAGTTCTGACGGGCAGGCAGGATCTCTTCCATTGATGCGGGTGGAAGGATGGAGTTTAGACTCCTAAAACCAAAAAAAAGAGAGATATAAGCGTCTAAAACGACTGAAAAGAACTTAAATGAAAGGTTTAAAGTAAGTGGAACAGCCTTCAGGCCAAGCAGGAGATCAGATCAGATCAGTTCATCCTGACCGGCTTCACTGCTCTACAAAACGAACGTCGGGTTTTCCGAATATTTTGTTCGTAAAAATGAAAAAGGAGACGACCGTCTTTCGTCTTGGTTCTGAAGTCTGCTTTACGGTGGATGTTCTTTACTCTTGTTACCTCGTTGTTCTGATGTTCATATTCTGATGTTCTTGTTCTCTAAGTGAGATTTTCTGGTTAGCTTGATATCTTGATGCTGTCCTGGACGTTCCCACTGGACACTGTTACCTCTGGTCCAAGTTATCCAGCTAACTGTAAAATCCTGCTTTGCGATGTCAAACTGGGAAAGTCTGCATTTCCGCCGACATTGGATTGTAACAAAAACTCCAAAAACACTGGCATGATCAAAAAAAGCTTCCTGGAACTCCTGATATCCTTTCTGGGAGGATGTTTTCTGTACGGATTTGATCTAAAACTCTACTAAAATGGAAAGTTAGGTCTATATTTCCATTGTTGTTGTTAAAGTCAGAAATATATTTATAATATTTTCCTAAGACAAAACGGGGGGATTGTTACCCCGCAGTGGTATTGCTATGTAGCAGTGAGCTTCGTCTCTACTTTGAAGGAGGGAACTGGATGTTTTTTACTGTCTTATGATTTTTTTTGTTTTTGTTTTGTTTCGTTAAATGCGTTAATTGAGCATTCGGAATACGATGTTTCTGACTCACGTTGATTTCTGTGGCCATTTCACTCTCATGAATTTAAACCTGAGTTTATAAGTTCCTATTTTGCATTTTTGTACTTTTACTTTCAATCATTGTGCTTGTAAAAATTTATGTTAATTTATTTTGTACGTGTGTTTGTTCGTTATGTCGATGAAAGAAAAAAATAAATAATATGATGGAAGAAAAACTCATTTGTTTTCATAGACATAACGCCCTTGTGGCTGAATACAATCAAATCCTCACACCATCTAGTGTAAAGCCATCCCAGAAGAGAGGGGGCTGTTACTGCAGCAAAGGGGATTAATATATATACACACTCTCTCTCTCTTTCTCTATCTCTCTTCCTACCTCCCTCTTTCTCTCTCTCTCCCTATCTTACTCTCTCCCTCTCTCTCCTCCCTCCCTCTCTCTAACTCTCTCTCTTCCTCCTTCCCTCTGTCTCTCTCCATCTCCCTCTCTCACTGACTTTCTCTTTCTCTCTCTGTCTGGCTCCCTCCTTCTCTCTAATTCTCTTTCTCACTCCCTCTCTCTCCCTTCCTCCCTCTGTCTCACTCTCTCCATCTCTCACTGACTTTCTCTCTCTCCTCCCTCCTTCTCTCTCTGTAACTCTTTCTCCCTCCCCCTCTCTCACTTTTTCTGACTTTCTCTTTCTCTCTCCTCCCTCTCTCTCGCTCTCTAACCCTTTCTCCCTCCCTCTCTCCTCCCTCCTTCTCTCTCTCTCAAACTCTTTCTCCCTCCCCCTCCCCCTCCGTCCCTCCCTCTCTCTCTCTCTCTCCTCCCATCTCTCCCCCCTCTCTCTCTAACTCTTCCCCCTCTCTCTAACTCTTTTTCCCTCCCACTCTCTCTCTCTCTCTTTAACTCTGTCTCCTCCCTCCCTCTCTCTAACTCTCTCTCTTGCTCTCCACCTCTCTCTCTACTCTCTCTCTCTCCTCCCTCCCTCTCTCTCTCTCTCTCTCTCTCTCTCTCTCTCTCTCTCTCTCTCCCTCTCTCATACGCACACTCCACTCGCCGGCACGCGGAACATGGCGGAAGAGCGGAACGGCGGGCGTCGCGAGGAATCTGACCGGTACCCGCGCGCGGGCGCCTTGCTGAGCGCGCAGAAGCGCCAGGCGCGCGTGACGGTGAAGTACAACCGAAAGGAGCTGCAGAGGCGGCTGAACGTGGAGACCTGGGTCGAGGACGCGCTCGAGGAGCTGTACGCGGGAGCGGTGAGTCACGAGCGCTCCTCTCAGCTGTGAGCGCGGGGCGTAAACTGAGTCTCGTGAGCTCCTGACAGGCGGGTAAAGGGGGTCACGAGCGGTAGAACCTCTCTCAGGTGTAGAAACCCGGGAAAACTGAATCGCGAGGAGCCCCAACAGGTGTGAAAGCGCGCGAGCGGGTCGCGAGAGTTTCTCTGAGGCTCTAATGAAGCGCTCTGATTTGACTCGGTCTGATGAGTCACTGAGGCAGACTTTATTTTGAGGGAACTGCTAGAAAAACAGTCCCTAAAATGTTCAAGCAGCATCAAATTCTTTACTTTTTAAATTAGTGTTGATAAGTATGAATTGATTACGTCATAAAGCGTGTGGAGGTCTGGGCCTCTGCTGAGGGGTCTTCTTGTTGATCAACACCTGCAGCCTTTAGACAGGTGATGAAATTTGGCTACATCATCTGAGGCTTTCAGTATCTCAGAGACTTTGGTCAGCGCTCCCCCTCCCCCCATTCCCCCCCTCCCCCATTCTGTTTTTCCTCAGAAGACAAGAGTGTTGTCTTTTCCCAGGGAGATAGCATCCAGCCCATGTGATCGAGCGAGATAAGACCACTTCTCCATCTCCCTGTAGACCCACATTACACAACAGCACCCAGTGGTCTGGACTGTGGTCCTGCTTCAGTTAGACAGCCCCCCATAGACGATCTATAGATGCTCTAATGATTAACAGAGCAGTGAAAACCAGGTTTAGGTCTAAGACCAAGGCCAGGGTTACGGTTTAGGAAAATTAAGGTGGATTTAATGTATACAGTCTTGCAAAGATGGTTCTTCAAGGGTTCTTCAGTAAAAGGAATGGTTCTATTTCGAAATATGAGTTCCATATAGAACCATTTGCATGTTTAAATGGTTCTTTTCATGGTGAAATGTTCTTCAGACTGATGGAGAACGTGTTGTAGGTGGATCTATATAGCACCAAAATGGATTATTTTATTGGTACAAGCTTGACATCATAACAATAGCAGAACCCCATTTTCTAACTGTTTTCATAAAAGTTCTATATAGAACCACATACAACACATTCTCAGTCAATCTGAAGAACCTTTTCACCATGCACAGAACCATTTAAGCATGGAATGGTTCTATAAACAGAACTCACGGTTCTATATAGAGCTACTTTCATAAAGGATTTATATAGAACCATAAAAGAAAGAACTCATGCAAAGAACTGTTTAGACATGAAATGGTTCTATAAATACAGAACTCATGGTTCTATATAGAAGTATTTTCATAAAGGTTCTATGTAGAACCATATACAACACATTCTCAGTCAATCTGAAGAAACCTTCAACATGCAAAGAACGATTTAAGCATGAAATCGTTCTGTAAATATGGAACTCATGGTTCTAAATAGAACCATTCCCCTTGAAGAACCATCTGAAGCTTTTATATATACACACACATTAAAATTTCTCTACAGTGGTGGTGATAGAAACCAGGGGTCACCATGTCTACAACACAAATATATCCATTTTATTTACTATACAAAAACAGCAGTGAACCTACACGAGTCTATGTTTTTATATGTAATGTTGATGATGATAAAATAAAAAATATATATATTGGAGACACCATGAACATTTTATTCATTAATGTTTTCAACTCCTTGAGACCACCGGTGGTTCCAAAACACACTTCATCATATTCCTCATAACTTTCATATTTCATAAGCTACATTCTAAAGGTGGGGGTCGTATGAGGCTGTAACTGTCTTCTTTCCAGTCAAATAGATGGGTGATGTCATTTTAAACCCTTATAATAAAAGAAGCTGAACTCACAATATTTTTTTGTCTACTGAAAGTCGACCCATTTTTCCACAAATCTGGGCTGTAAACTATAAACAGATGGCGTCTCTTCAGTGATCTGCTCTGTGAAAATGATTTTTATAAAATAATACAAACAGCGTCTAAGATTTTTGTCTTTCAGCCATAAATTGTAAGCATATAGCAATATGTGTGATCATAAAACACGTTCTGTTCATTTGAGGGAAGCTTTTACAAAAAATAAATAAATAACATAAAAATGTACAGTTATTTCATGCAGTTACTGAATAATTTGCCTTACGATTTGGTCATGTAAATTCAGATGGACAATCAAAACATACCCTGGTCAATAAGAGGTTAAACTTTGTTTAACACAAAAGCGTTTCATAAAAATATTGTAAAACAATGTCTCAGGCATCGGGCTCCATATTCGTAATCATTGTGTGTATTAACTTTCTGCGAGGGAGCTTTTAGAGGTGGACGTCTGGTTCCTATCACCACCACTGTGAACTATTCTGACTCTGTAAGTTTCTCTGGAACGGAGCGTTTCACATCAGTCCACTCTGAATGACCTTGTTTACATCTTAACTATTAAACTTTTCAACTTTTCTTAAAAAAAAAGCATCTACAGTGGGCAGTCCATCCAGACTGACGACTAGCCAACGTTTATCCAACAATTTGGAGGGACCAAAGAAAATATGGTCCAGTAGAGCATTCCTGACCTCTCCTCCTTATTGGACAGGGTTTTTGACATAAGTTATGTGGCTTATTGAGAAATCCTACTCTGTGAAATATGCCCTCAGTGATTTCCCAAGCAGCCCCACATCAATAACTCTAAGGCTTGTAGGAGGGCTGAGGTCAAAGGGTGTAGTACAGAAGATCCATGTGGGTGAAACAGTGAAACTTGGTCAGCGATGATTTATTAGCCTGTATTTTAGGCATTTATAATATTTGCATTATGGATGATATTTAAGGTTCTTGTAAAAGGGCTGGAGTGCTTACTTCTCCATTCAGGGTGATGTATGATAGCGTGCTGCCTCCCGCTTGGCCTCATTCAGTCTCAGGGCTTTATAAGGAGCTGTGCTCTGTGGGATCAGCAGGTAGACGTGTGCTGTACGGCTGTAGAGATATCCATTATAAACTGTCAGTGTGGGAGAGAGAGTACACTACAGGCAAAAAGCCTGAGAGCAGCTTATTTTAATAACAAGATAACAGGTATAACAGTAATGTTTATTAAAGCGACCCCTCAGGCCAAAATCACAAACGTAAGCATCGATACACCTCCTGTAAATATAGTCTCTAACCAGAATAAACACGCTGGACAACTTGGTAAACTTTTAGGGGCGGATTGTGGTGAAGTCCCGCTAACAAGGATACGGCCACTCTTAAAGCTGCCCCCAAATAGCCTGTGCTCTTTTTAACGTCCACATAATGTCCATGTGCAGATTAACAACTAATCATCACATTGATTTATCAGTCTACTCAGGCTTTAGCAGAGCTCAGCAACACTGAGATTAATAACTGATCATCACTTTGATTTATCAGTCTACTCAGGCTTTAGCAGAGCTCAGTAACACTGAGATTAATAACTGATCATCATAGTGATTTATCAGTCTACTCAGGCTTTAGCAGAGCTCAGTAACACTGAGATTAATAACTGATCATCATAGTGATTTATCAGTCCACTCAGGCTTTATCAGAGCTCAGTAACACTGAGATTTATAACTGATCATCACTTTGATTTATCAGTCTACTCAGGCTTTAGCAGAGCTCAGCAACACTGAGATTAATAACTGATCATCACATTGATTTATCAGTCTACTCAGGCTTTAGCAGAGCTCAGCAACACTGAGATTAATAACTGATCATCATAGTGATTTATCAGTCTACTCAGGCTTTAGCAGAGCTCAGTAACAATTAGTAAAGCTCAGTAAATTAATGTAAATGTAAACTATAATTAAACTTTAAAGTAGTGAAAATATTGTTTTCTGTGCTTCTTTTCTCTCTCTTCTCTCTTCTTTCACTCTCTCTCTCTCAGAGAGACTCACTCGCTCTATCTCTCTCCCACACACACTCTCTATCTGTGTGAGCTGTCAGACAGATGTGCATGAGGCAGATGTGTGAGGGCCATATAAGGCCAGACGTTCGGATTCTCTGAAGGGGATAACAGACTTCCTGTCCCACACACATGATCCCTGTGCTTTACCACTGCCTTACATGGGCACTATGTGTGCGTGCGTGTCCACTCACAGGGCACTTTGAGCTTTACCTTCCTTAAAGATCCACAATATAGATGTCCAGTGACACCTTGTAGCCCAGCAGTGATGCTGACATGGCAGTGTGTTGTATTATGATGTGTCGCATTGTGTTTTGTTGCAGTGTGTGGTGTATTGTTGTGTTGTATTATGTCACGTTGTGTTGTCTTGTGTTGCATTTTGTGCTGTTTTGTTGTAAGATCTGTTTGTGTCATAGTGTGTTTTGTTGTGTTGTATTATGTTGTGTTGTACTGTGTTGTGTTGTGTTGATTAATTTTGTGTTGTTGGTGTTGTTTTGTTGTTTTAGTGCAGATCTAAGTTGGAGGCCTTCAGGACCGAGAGCTCTCATGGCTACAGAAAGCAGTGATGTTCTCTGGAGTTTGGGTGTTTGTGTTACAGAGAGATAATGTGTGTCTCAGGAGACAGTGTGTCTGTGTGTTTTGGGTGTGTTTGCAGTGTTTCTAAGAAGACTGTGTGTGTGTGTGTGTGTGTGTGTGTGTGTGTGTGTGTCTCAGGGGACGGGTGTAATGAGTGTGTTTCCTCATGTGACTGATGTGTATCAGTGATGTGGGAACTTTCGCTGTGTTCTGAGAGAGCAGGTTCATTCAGTTCAGCAGACCTAAACAATCCAGCTTCATTTACTTATTTTACCTCTTCGTTTAGTGTGTTTATAACAGCGGCGGTCAGTTCGAGCCCTGCAGGGCTCCAGACTTGGCATGTCTCCAATGCCAATGTCTGGCTGGGTTCCTGGTTTGTGTTCTTGGTGATCCGCATTACAACTAGCCTTGGCCAGTATGGCTGAAAATGATATTATGTCTTGAAGTGTATTTTTCTATGCAATTCTATTAGTTGACGTAACAGTATTAGCAGTTAGCGTTTTCTCCACGTGTTGAGCTATGATGACATTCTGTTAGCGGCAGTTTGAAAAGATATGGAAGCGCATGCTGGCTTTCACCCTCTTCAGTACCTTCACTTAGGGGACATAATTGCACCATATTCCACAGCAATAGTGTACTTAAAGCTACACTATGTAAGTTTGGGGGATTTGGAGACCTCTCTGGCGGAAATGTGTAATTGCACGCAACGTGTGGAAGAACACCTTGTGACATGGGTTTTGCTTCGGACCGATGAAATCTGATGATTGTAAACAAATTGAAAGAGAATTCAAAGAGAACTCAGTCAAAACATGGTGAAGGACGTGTCTGAGTGAATTATCTACTGTTGTCATCATATCTTTATCAGTATTATGTTGATTGTGCATCTGAGACCTAAACATTGAGTCAGATCTTCTTTTTTGAGAACAACACACTTTACAAAGTGTTCTTCACGTTGCATGCAATTACACATTTCCACCAGAGGGGTCGCCAAATCAAACACAGTGTAGCTTTAAAGTTAACAGGAATTGGAAATCATACTGCATTTTCATTCCATACTGTGACATATTTGTCAGTTAATCATGGTATCAGAAGGGTCCCTGAGCTAGCTGAGCATTCTAGCTCCATGATAGGTGGGGTGGTGTGAGGTGGGGATGAAACATGAGATCATTGGTTAATATCATTTTGGTGCGCGGTGATGTAATTAAAACTCAAAGGACATTTTAGAGGTGGGCAAAAGTCCTTAGTTCAGTCTTTTAAATGATACGATACGATGGATTGTGTTTAATATGACCAGAAACATGAACGAACAGGGATATACCATTTTGATTTCAGGTTGATCTTAAATCTTGTTGGCAGCAATTCATAGTAAAACCGTGTCTGTATAAATATTGACTGGACACGGAAAAAACCTGAGGAGTGAGCTAATGTTTGTGTGTGTTTGCAGGAGGACGAAATGCCAGAAGAGATCGATATCGACGACCTGTTGGTTCTCCAGAGTGATGAGCAGCGAGCACAAAAACTACAGGTCCCATCATCCCCTTCTGCACCACACTAAACTTCATGTACTGCACTGCCTGCTCAAATATATGCTAATGCTGCATTCATGACTACGTCGGAAACTGGGGAATTTTCTGACTTTTGACTGGGGAAAATCCATTTTGAGAGGCTCTCCAACTCAGAATTCCCTGTGGAAAGTAAAGTTTTCCCAGATCTCAGGCTTCTCCAAGTTCCATGACGTTACTTTTGAGCGTTTTTATGCAGACTTATGATTTTCAATCTGTGTATGAAAGGCTATTTATACATGATAGCTCTAAATTCATGGGGATACTTGTTCTTTGTTCTTTGTAAGATTCGGTATGAAACTCTGTGGTATGGTCATTTTCAGCTGCTTGTTAATGGTGAATTTGCTGTAGCCGAGTTGGCCATTAAAATTAACGAAGCACAAACCAAACCACTTTTTGATTCAGTGTAAAAGCTGTTAAAGTGCTATTTTCATGCGCAAAATGAAGACTGTCCATTTCTTCTGACTTCAGACAGTTGAGGTGGATGTTTTGATGTGGGAAGTAAGAAGCTCAGCGTTAAAAAAGGTCCCAGTTGTCTTGAACGCAGCATAACATCTCACTAAACGTCAGTTTTATTCTGTATACTCTTCCACAGAAGCTGCTGCAGACCTGCAGGAACGACATACAGGTTAGAGACTCTCTCTCTCTCTCTTTCTCTCTCTCTCTCTCTTTCATATAGATAGCACGGCCCAATCCCATTTCACCCTTCGCCCTTACCACTTAGCCCTACCCCCCTGTTTTGCACGTTCTCATCTAGGGGTGGGGTGTCCTGACTCTTGTTTAGATAGAGGGGTAGGGCGAGGTGTTTGGGCTACAAGGTCTTTCAGAGTCACACTGCAAACAGTGTTATGAGAAAAAACAGAAAAACTGGCAAGATGGCTGCGTAAACGACTAAAGAAACCCACAAATGTGAGAATTTTCTCTGTTAGAAATTACGATAACCACTGCATTATCTTTGTTAAATGTCATTTGTAATGTATTATGGTCCTTTTCTTCATAATAAGCATAAAACATTGCTGATGTCTCGGTGGCTAGCTGGCTAAATTTCCCGTTCCATCTTAAATGGGGACAGTAAAATTCAAACAAGAAGCTGGTGAATATCTGACTTCAGCTTCATATCACTGAAGAATCAGGGGTGGCTCTTTGAGCCCTTTGACCCCTCTTTGAAGGCATATGATGCCCTAAATGTAACTAAAGCCCAGCAGTGAGGAGCTGAACTTTCTCTGCTGTCACTGTAGACTGGCAGGGTCACCTACAGAGCAGCGCTAGTAGCCTCTTAATGAAGTAATGCTCTTCTTTATTTGAGGGTCCCGTTTAGTAGGGGAAGATTTCAACTACTACCCCTTCTAACTCAATTCCAACGGGCGGCACTCGAAAACAAGGGGTAGGGGTACAAAATAAGAAAAGGAATTGGGCCCATGGCTCTGGTACGGAGACTGTCAGGAACCAAATGCACAGCAAAATTAAAAAACGAGCTGGAAACGCAGAAAAATCTCTGCAGTGACACTGCAATGTCAGTCACAACACAACGGAAATGTTTCTGAAGGACACTCAAACTTTTAGATTCTGTGCAGCGAAACATCCACGTGTGAAAGTCAGATCACTTTCATTTGAACAGATCACTGGTGTCACTGTATGTAATAGGAATTTGCTGTAGAGTGTAACTGCAACACCAGGTATGACTGATAACTACCACAGTTCAGCTGTGGCCTGTCAGGTCACTGACTACTCGGCCAAGTAACCCTGAACTCTCCGCTGTCTCGGTCAGTGATTTTCCATCACAGATGCTCCGTCCCCTGTGAGAGTCCTCTGGAAAGGTTCCCGCTGTGTTGTGGCTCTGCAGCGGTTCTGAAGTCGCGTGTGTTTCCTGTGTTTGCAGTGTGTTTGTGAAACGTGTCTCAGGTGAAGCTTTGAGGGTGAAAGTGCTTTCTGAGTTTCTGAGTTGGTGCGTTTTTAATGGTGCTGTCTTACAGGCCACCGTACTCTCGCCCTGCCTCTCTCTCTCTCTCTCTTCCCCTCCTGACACTCACTTGTACAGCAGATGAGCTTCTACAATGATCATTTGTTCCCTGCTGTGCTTCTCTCTCTCTTTCTCTCTCTCTCTCTCTCTCTCAACCGTTATGAAGGGATGTCTCTTGCCCTTCTTTTTTCTCCCCTCTCCACCCCCCCTCTCTCTTTCATTTTCTCTGTCTTTCCATTCTCTCTCTCTTACTCTTTCTCCCCTCTCTTTATAGTATAGTAAGTAACTCGCCCTGCCTCTCATTTCTCCTCCTCTATATCCCTCTTTCTCGCCCTCTGTCTCTTTCTCTTTTCTCTCTTTCACAATTATTTTTCTCTTTGTCCAGCATTGAGAAAAGATGTCTCTCGCCCTTCTTCTACTTCATCCCCTCTCTACCCCCTCTCTCTCTTTCATTTTCTCTGTCTTTCCATTCTCTCTCTCTCTTCTCTCATTTTCTCTCGTTCCATTTCCTCCCCTTCTCTCTCCTTCTATTTCCTTCTCCTCCTCTTTTTCAAAGATACCATGTCCCTCGCCCTGACCCTTTTCTCCCCCACACCCCCTTCTCTCTCCCTCTCCTCTCTCTCTCTCTCATTCTATTTCTCTCTCTGTTGTCTCTCTCTCTCTCTCTCTCTCTCTCTCTCTCTCTCTCTGCTCTATCAGCACAAAGTCGTTCTTTCATTAGCTCTCTGTAACACAGTTCACGCTCGCTCTGGTCACAGTGACTGTTTGTGTGGTTCGGTCAGCTCTGTGGTCAGTGCTGAAGTGGTGACTCATAGTTCAGGCCCAGCTGAAGGAGAACAGAGCAGATAAGGCACTCAGTCAGCAATGAGCTCTGATTGATTACGATCTGAACGTGAGCTGGACGATATGAACCGATATCAGTATCAAAGTCGTTTGACTTTAATGATGCTTTACGATGCAGCAAGTTTCGATTTTCCTGCATTTGTAACTTTTGACATGCGTGTATAGGACTGTGCAAAAGTCGGAGACCAAGCTTTTATTAATTTCCAGTCAAAACATAAATTTTCTTAGGAGATTAGATAAAAGATAATCCTCATGCTCAAGGAAGGAGAAAGACAAAGTGGAAAAGAGGAGCTTCCAAAACGGGAATTCAAAAAAAAACTCCAGTTCTTCCAAGTGGGCTCCTAACAACCACCTGGAAGACCTGGTAGACACCAAAACTGCCCCCATCAGATGAACAGTCAGTAACCCCTGTCTGAGGTCATGAACGTATTTAACTGTCCGTTTTCCTTCAGTGTGTGTTTATCATTGTTAGCTGCTGACTGTAGATGTGGGTGTGTCACTATTTATTTGTTCAAACCTGTTGTGAATGAAGTTCGACCAGCCTTACAGCTGCCTGCTCTGTCACTTTACTGCTATGAGAAGAATGTGAGACGTTGATCAGTGTCCACGTCAACACTTGAGCTATGTGTTTGTGTGTGTAGGCGTTCGTCACTGAGCTGCTCCAGAAGCTGCAAGGCCTCCACAAACAGGAGGAGCTTCAGAACGAGGGCATCGGCCATCCCTGTCTCCACAGTTACCCCCATCATCACGGCAACGTCCACCACCACGGCCACGCCCATCACCCACATCAGCAGCAAACGCACCAGACGCTCTAGCTATGTCCCACAATGCACTGTGGCAGGGAGAGCACCTCCCACACACGGACTCTCACGCGTAAACACCTGTGATGTCACTACCGTCCCCAAGATTTGTTACTAACCAGTTTATTTTGATGGTTAACTTATGATTCACTTACACCTCTTGTTGCTTAGTAACCGTGTAACTGTACAGAAGATTTTCACGTAGGCTTACAGGCCACCGCACAGCGGAGGTGTCACGTCAGAGAACTTGTAGAGGAGAATTACCACTCCGTAATGTCTTCCAGGTTTCTCAAACACTAGAGGGCGCTCCCGAGTCCAAAATGAATGGGTTAAGATGGAGCGTTTGAGCAAAATCATAGTTTATAAATGCTTAAACCCTTTTAATATAAAAAACATGTTTATTTCATGAGCACAGAACAGCATAAAACATTTTAACACTGCTGCTGTACTTTTGTATGTATAGCTTTTAAACTCGAGTTATAGGAGTTTAAAACGGCGCCTCATGTATGTTCATGACATCAGTGAGCGCGAACAGCCAATGAGCTGCTCCGCTCGCCAACCAATCAGCACTCAGTAGCAGTAATGTTAGCGTTCTGCTGCCCAAAACCCGTTTACTGTCGAAAAAAGGAAACAAACAGGTGAGTTTTCTTTGCTTTTTTAGTGAAATTCATCCTTCTACTTTCTATAATTAAAGGAAAGTTCTGGGCGAGTGATTAGAAACTATTTTAACTTTTCGTCTTTAGCCGTTGAGCACCATTTACTCCCATTCACTGAGGACTTGCTCGCCGTATGTTAAATAACTATGTTAAATTAAAGCCAAATTGGGACCATAAAAGCGGGAGTAGATCACATTTGGCTTGAAATTTACACAGGAAGGCTGTCAGTGTTTTAAATAAACAGATGCTAACGGTCACCTAATGTTACTAATCTGGTCTTTTTTTCACCTCATTAGCTTGAAAACAGAGAGTAAACTGATGCCAAACGTGATAAATGTTGAAACTTTTCATCAAATGTTCATAAATAAAATGAACTTGAGGTTTGTCAGCTCCTTCACTGCATACACTTTATAGTAGCATTCTGCTATGTGATGCTAGGTGATGCTTAAGCTCTGTGGCACGTCCAGTCCAGTCTGCGGTGGCTTTAATTGTGCAATATTAAAAACATTCAGCAAAAACTTCAAATGTACATGAACCCCCTCTTACCCTGAATGTAGTCGATCAGCCAAGACACATTTGGTGTTTGAAGTTTCCTTATTAGCTAAAAGGCTAATGTAGCTAACACTTTTGTCCATTTTTATAGACAACTGAATGTCACACAGCATCAGAAACCATGTAAGAAGGCTCCTGAGTGGCACTACAATCTAGGCGTTGGCTCTACCATCAGGAGATTGCGAGTCCTATCCCTGGTGATGCTACAACCATCTGTGGCTGATAGTCTAAGAGAGCACAATTGGCCTCGCTCTCTGGGTGGGTAGGATGGCCTCCCATAACTTAGTGTGATGCTAGTCAGCGCAGGCGTCTGTTAGCTGACATAACAGATCTGGCGGTTGGCGCTTTCCTCCGAACGTCCAATGACGTTGCGTGAGCGGCAGTTTGAAAAGATGCGGTGGCGCTTCACAGGTCTCGGAGGAAGCCTGTGTTAGCCTTCGCCCTCATAGCGCTGGTGGCATCGTGTGACTGGGGGAGTCACAAACAACAATGGAACGCGACCAATGGCAGCATGCAGCCACGTAAGTGTTGCCATGGTAAGAGCATAACTGGAATAACAGTGGCGTTCCTGCCACCATGTTTTTATCCAGGAATTTATCTTGAAAATTTTTGGAACACACGCTGATGTTTGTACTGAGAAACCATTGCCGTTTAGGTTTTGTTGAATGTGACCGGCTGGCCTGGACGACTACGAACATCTGTGTAACATTGCGCTCATTCCATCACTGCAGCCGTCTGCGGACGTTTCGAAAAATATTACCTCTTGAATGATCGTTACACTGATGGCTTAATATAAATGCAACATATTTGAGATGACTTGGTTTGACCAGACATGACACAGCACGATATGGTAACCTGATCGAGTGTATGTTTCTTTCCCATCACATAACAGAGCCATAAAAGTAGGCGGAGTTCTCTGTAGCTTGTGTGGTCACATGATTTCTCATGCAACTCCAGCATTAACAGTAAACACAGAAACAACAATAGATGAGCTTCAGGTTCTGATGTACTGACTGCATTTGGTTTTATGATTCACTTGGCAGTTGAAATGACAACAAAAAGTGTGACCGTATCTCACTGTCCGCTGGAAAAATGCCATTAGCTTGCATTACCTGTTAGCTACATTAGCCTCGTAGCTCCAGTGCAAAACTAAAGAAGCAAACTTTAAACACCAAACGTTTTCCCTGGTGGTCTGCATTTGGGGTAAGTGGAAAATTGTGGAAATTTGATTTATCACTTTAGCATCCTAAAAATTGTTTAAATACACAGATACGACTGCCATGTCAGTGCCACTGCTGTGCTGAGAATGGTCCACCCCCAAATAACATCTGGTCAACAGCAGTCCTGTGGTCAGAGAGTGGAATGGAGTAGAAGAAGGCAGATAAACTATGCAGCAACAGCTGAGCTACTACAAAAACCTGTACAAAAAAATGGCAGATTCAGAGCGAAGGAGTGGCCGTTGTGTGGCCTTTCTTTTGATGACTTCACAAAACTGACCGTTCTAAATGACTTGTAAACAGTTCATTGCTGTGTTAAGCTCACCAGGTACGAACGTTTTTCCACTGAGTTCTTACATCACTAAGCCCACAACAACTATAATGTAGGTCAATCTATGTATTAATGTTGTATTTATGTATTTTAAAATGATAATAAAGTTGTGAATCAAACTTTGAGTCTGAGTGTTGAAGGGTAAGAAGAGGACATTGCTAGTTTCCAAGCTAGAAAAACCAGCATGGACCAGCTGGTCACCAGTAAAACAGCATGTGTTGTGTTTTGGATGCTGGTATGCTAGTCAACCAGCATGGCAATGTCGGGTGACCAGCTAAACCAGCACCAGACCAGCACTACCAGGAGAGCCATAGAATGCTTCAAAGAAAGCTAAGTAAGGCTAGCATAGTGTTCATGTCACAGCTGGGTTATTATGTGTTGCTAGCTGGCTTTGTTTAACTTTGTTTAGTTGTTCTGTATTACAGTGTATTACAGCACTGCTGTGTCTGATCCACTCGTACCAGCACAACACACACAAACACACCACCACCATGTCAGTGGTACTACAGTGCTGAGAAAGGTCCACCAACCAAATAGTACATGCTCTGTGAGGGTCCATGGGGGTCCTGACCACTGAAGAACAGGGTAAAAGGGGGCTAACAAAGTATGCAGAGAAACAGATGGACTACAGTCTGTAACTGTAGAACTACAAAGTGCTCCTATATAGTAAGTGGAGCTGATAAAATGGACAATGAGTGTAGAAACAAGGAGGTGGTCAGAATGTTATGGCTGATCGGTGTACAATGTTAGCAGTGTTGTTCTTTGGATCTTATGGGCTCCAGTAACAAACAAATGACAATGTAATTTACTTGTTTACTTTCTATTGTCATGTCTCAAAGAAACTCACTCCACCAGCTAGCTTCTAATGCTAAAGTGTTTACATTAGACCACGCATTGATCATTAGGTAGGTTAAAGTTCTAATGAAATTAATTAATCAAATCTCAAAGCAGATCCAGTTGATCCAGATCTTCTGGTGTTTTGAAGTCTCAGAGGCAGTTGGGTTGGGTTAGTTGGGCTCTGCAGTGAAGGCTAATCTCACTTCTAGCTAATATCAACATTACAATCTTCAGTGCTGAGTCAGCAGATCTGGACCCGCCCACATTTTAACCCTGTGTTTTTAGCTGTTTACCCAGGGAAAAGGGAGGGGTTTGGTGGAAGATGGGTGGGGAGTAGAGGACATTCCAGGGTGATGTTCCTTTTCCGTAATTGTTTCCTTTCAGGCGGGTTCTACTGGTTGGGCCAGATAAGTGGAAGGCATGTATCTGTGAATGTTAAAGATGAGGAACCGAATGTGTTTAAGGGTGTGTTTGGGTGTTTATCTGTGGAACTAGAAAGTGGGTGTAGACTTAATGATTCTGGAATTCTAGGCAAAAGAACAGGTTCTACAGTGTTTTCTTCTATTTTTTTTTTTAATTGTCACACTTAAATGTTTCAGATCATCCAACTAATTTTAATATAAGATAAAGACGAGGCGAGTAAACACAAAATACATCTTTTAAACGATCATTCCATTTATTGAAGATAAAGATTTATTCAAAACCTATATCAAGCGTGTGAAAAAGTAATAGCCCTCTAAACCTAATAAATGGTTGTGCAGAATTGTTTTAATTTTGGCTACATTGGAGGGTTTTCGAGCATGAACTGCCCATTTAGGGTCTTGAGATGGGAATCAAGTCAGGACTTCAACTTTGCCACTCCAAAACCTTCACTTCGTTTCTTTTAAGCCACTCAGAGGTGGACTTGCTTGTGTGTTTCAGATCATTGTCCTGCTGCATAACCCAAATATGTTGAGTGTTAGGTCACAAAGTGATGGGCGGATGTTCTCCTTCAGGATTTTCTGATAGAGAGCAAAACACATGGTTCCATCAATTATGACAAGTTGTCCAGGTCCTGCAGAAGCAAAGTGGCCCCAGACCATCACACTACCACCACCATGTTTTGCTGCTGGTATGATGTTCCTAAAATAGAAGAAATTGCAAAGGGGACAAATACCTTTTCACAGCTCTGTATAGAACTATGAACACTCCAAGAACCATTGCATGCTAAAGGGTTCTTTGCATGGTGAAATGGTTCTTCATATTCATGGAAAATGTGTTGCATATGGTTCTATATAGAACTTTTTTGAAAATTGTTCTATATGGCACCAAAAAGGGTTCTTCTGTTGTTACAAGCTTGGCATTGTATCAGTAGGAGAACACTTGTTGTTGCTATATAGAACCATTTTTTAAAAGATTCTATATAGAACCATATGCCACACGTTCTCCATGAATCTGAAGAACTATTTCACCATGCAGGGAACCATTTGAGCATGCAGATGGTTCTTGGATTGTTCATGGTTCTATCTAGAACCACTGTCTTTGCTAAAGAACCCTTTAAGAACCATCTTTTTAAAGAGTGAAGTCAGTGGATTTAAAGATAAGATGGGATGAGTTTTTCCAGAAACTTTCAGAAAAACTTTCTGTCTTTACACAGTTGTGTCATCACAACATGGAACAATCCATTATAACCACAGCTGAGGGGTGGAGCTGCACTGAAACTACCGCTTATAATCACTCTAATCACAAATAGCAGCTGTTTATATATATAATATATATATATATATATACATATATATATATATTAGAACACCTTATTTACCATCACTATGTGCAGTATACCTAATCTGTCTATTCGTGGAGGCCCTTGGTGGCTGCTTAGCTTCTCCTGGTGCCAGAACCGCCCTGCTAGAATGAGTGTATGTTTGCACCATATAGGTAAATGGTTTGCACTTCTTTTGCACACTTAAGATTGTCTTCCTCATGCATTGTCTTCTGGTGACCACCAGAGGGCAGACCAGGACAAAAAGCTTTTCAGAATTTCACCTTCTCGTCAACCATAAACTGAAAATGGGCTGAAAGTCAGATTCAGATCCAACAAAGCTTTTTCTAAATCACAAAAAGTTTTATTACACTTGTTTATTACTCTCTGACTGTTTTCATGCCACCTGCAGCTCTTGTCATTATCAAGAAGCAGCGCTGATTTACTCTCAGTATTATAGAAAATGCATGTTGGATGCATCATATTGCATGTTATGTAAGCATTTCTCATTAAATGGAATACAGTGTGAAACAGAACAGGACAGTGTTACCTTATTTACAGGACAATGTCACTGATTGCTTAAAATCTGTTCATAATTCTGTGGTTGAGATGTGCACAGTCATTCAGAGTAACCTTCACTATTTAACCCCTTAAATAGCCAGGGCCCACAGTTTATTACACACTTCTATAACCTAAGAATAGCTCAGCCATTTGTATTGAAGTCCCTGTAGTTATTGAATAATAAGCCTGAGTATGTAATCAGCCTGGGACTTTAATTATGCAGAAATCTACTAAAAATCAGTGGAATTTCCCTTTAGGGTGGATAGTAAATGAGATGGAATATTAAAAGTGATCAAATGAAAAAAGGAACAAAATATTAAATAAAATTTATATGAATTTAATAGAATGTGATGTAGAGCAGAACAGGGCTGTCCAAAGGTTGGTCTGCCAGTCAAATTTGGCCTGTGTGGATGTTTGATTTGGCCCACCAGAAAGTGGCCTGACCCCACCCCCCATCACCCAATGAGAGAACAGTCATGTTTTACACTACCTGTAAACATAAATGAAATTCTTGTTTTCTTTAAAAATTGCATTTTTTAATGATTTCATAACAAAATGCAGTGTAATGTCATAAAATACATTTCTACACAGTCGATTTAAACCCGCCTCTCTTCTTTATTTGCATTCTGTGTTGTCTTTATGAACTGGGCCCACCAGCAAACACTGTGCTTTGGCCTCCCAAGACAAAAAGTTTGGGCTCCCCTGGAAAAGAATGATAAAAGGATTATAAATTGGAGTGTAATTTTAAAGCAGAATATGATATCAAATAGGCCTGAATGTTGAATTCAGCAGAGTGAAGAATGCAGATGAATATTAAATTAAATAGAAAAAAGTATAAATTAAATCTCTCTCTCTCTCTCTCTCTCTCTCTCCTCTCTCTCTCTCTCTCTATATATATATGTATATATATATATATATATATATATATATATATATATATATAGATATGTGTGTGTGTGTGTGTGTGTGAATGTATAACTGTGTGTGTAACAGTGTGTCTGTCTGTGAGTATGTGTGTGTATAATGGAGTACATATGTACATATATGTGTATAAAAGATAACAGTGTGCTTATATGTGTGTGTGTGTAACAGTGTGCTTATGTGTTTGTAATGGTTTGTGTGTTGAGATATGTGTGTATAACTATGTGTTTATCAGTGTGTGTATGTGTGTGTGTATAATGATGTGTATACATATGTGTGTGTATTGGTGTGAGTGTGTGTGTAATGATGTGTTTGTACACTGGTGTGTCTGTATAATGGTGTGTGTATGTGTGTGCGTGTGTGTATGTATAACTGTGTGTGTGTGTGTGCATAATGGTGTACATATGTACATATATGTGTATATAATAGTGGAGGTACAACAGTGTGTGTATGTGTGTATATCAATGTATGTGTGTGTATAGAAGTGTATGTATGTGTGTATATAATGATGTGTGTATGTGTGTGTCTAACAGTGTGTGTGTGTGTGTATATCAATGTATGTGTGTGTATAGAAGTGTATGTATGTGTGTATATAATGATGTGTGTATGTGTGTGTCTAACAGTGTGTGTGTGTGTGTGTGTGTGTAAGAGTGTATGTAAGAGTGTGTGTGTTTGTGTGTCTAACTGTGTGTGTGTGTTTGTATGTGTGTATATCAGTGTATCAGTGTGTGTATAACAGTGTGTGTATCAGTGTATATCAGTGTGTGTATAACAGTGTGTGTATAACAGTGTGTGTATTAGTGTATATCAGTGTGTGTATAACAGTGTGTGTATCAGTGTATATCAGTGTGTGTATAACAGTGTGTTTGTGTGTATAACATTTTGTGTACAACAGTATATGTATGTGTGTATATAATGGTGTGTGTATGTGTGTATGTATATGCATGTATAATGGTGTGTGTGTGTGTGTGTGTGTAACAATATGTGTGTGTGTGTGTATGTGTGTGTACATGTGTGTGTGTGTTTGTGTGTCCAAAAGTGTGTGCGTGTGCATAACAGTGTATGTATGAGTGTGTGTATGTTTGTGTGTCTAACAGTGTATGTGTCTATAACAGTGTATGTATGAGTGTGTATGGGTGTGTGTGTGTATAACGGTGTGTTTGTGTGTATGCATATGTATGTATAACCGTGTGTGTGTGTGTGTGTGTGTGTAAAACAGTGTGTGTGTGTGTAACAGTGTATGTGTGTGTGTGTGTGTTTGTGTGTTTAACAGTGTATGTGTGTGTAACAGTGTATGTATGAGTGTGTGTGTGTGTGTGTGTGTGTGTGTGTTTGTGTGTATAACAGTGTGTGTGTGTGTGTGTAACAGTGTATGTATGAGTGTGTGTGTGTGTGTTTAACAGTGTATGTGTGTGTAACAGTGTATGTATGAGCGTGTGTGTGTGTGTGTGTGTGTTTGTGTGTCTAACAGTGTGTGTGTGTGTAACAGTCTATGTATGAGCGTGTGCATGTGTAACAGTGTGTATGTGTGTGTGTGTGTCTAACTAACAGTATGTATGTGTGTTTGTGTGTCTAACTAACAGTATGTATGTGTGTTTGTGTGTGTGTGTTTGTGTGTGTGTGTTTGTTTAAGGAGGGTGTCTCTGTTTCCTCAGGATAACGCATCATCATCTGGTAGCAAACTGAGCGACAGCGTTCAACGTTCCTCCAGAACACTCTAACACCTCACACACACACGCATGAACACACACTCTCTCTCTCCTCACACACTGGAATGGCACTGCAGTGAGGCGCCTGTCCATCACAGCTAAAGGTAAGACCACATATGTGTACCTGCATTTTTTTATTAAATCAGCTGCTTAAGTGACCAGTGACAGTAAGTGTGCTTAAAGAGGGTCTCTCTGTAGTTCTGGACTTCACTGTTTAAATAAGTAACGTTTTATAAGCAGCATAGGACTGAAAAATCAGGAGATCAGGCACCTACAGGAGATGCTTTTAACCTGTATTGAACTGTTTGGTCCCCACAATTTAAGCTTGGATGTATTCAATTTCAGTGAGTATTTTCTATTGAGACTTTGTTCAATGTAAAACAAACAAAGAAACAACCAAAAAACTTTATTTAATAAAAAGTACAGCATTTTTTTTTTTTTTTACATTTTTGACCTTTTTACATTTTTGACATTCTTGATCTGTTTACTTGAAAGGGAACATTTTTATATTTATATAAGATGTATATTTGTAACATATTTTATAGACCAAAAAGAAGAAAAAAGTTTGAAGTTGAAATTTTAATTTCAGTTTTGAAATTGAAAATATACATTAAATTTCAATGCTGAAACGGAAAATTTAAATTGAATTTTAAAGTATTTTTTAAAAAATCTACATTTAAAACTGGATCCAAAGAAGTTATTACAGAATCAGTACTAAAAATTTTGATTAAATAAAAAAAGTGTGGTTCATTGATACATTGAACTTTCTGTCTCCTGAAAACCACATCCTCCAGAAAAAATTGATGTTCCCACTTATTCAGCTGATCATTTAAATCAAGCATGTTAAATCGTGGGAAACACTAAACACTGCAGTGAGCTACACTCCCAGAAGAACTCTCCTGAGAAATCAATTCATTTGAGGTTATTGTCGTACATATACACAGCGTTTCTGCACAGTTTAATGAAATGCAGTCTATTCTCAGGTGCATGATAATCTATATAGATAACAGTAGCAATTAACATACAATATCATAGTGTGACAAATTACACAATGGTTATGCATTAGCATACAGTGCTCTATAGAAGTAATACAGAATGTACAACCAAGTTCAGGTCATCCTAGAGGTCTTCAGTTGAGTCTATTCACAGTGTCCTCAGTTTTAAGGTGGACAAATATTCAAATATATAATGCATTAATTAAATAAAGTGAGCAAAAACAACAACAGTATACAAACAGGGCAAAGAATCACTTGAGTAGTTTGCTGATCTACCAGTAGTTGAGTGTTATAATGTGGGAGAATCTGTTGTAAGTCATCTCCCACATAACAGATCCAACATGGTTTTGGTGGAAACTGCTGTTCAGAGGTCAGTTTGACTCTCAATGTACACTCACTGTTCGCTTTATTAGAAACCTCAACCTTGTAGCTCCACCTAATTAATACCTGCCCAGCTGTGGCCCTGTGGTCAGAACTTGGCCAGTGATGAACAGGGTAGAGGTAGAGCTGATAAGGTAGGTGGAGCTCATAGTCCATGATGGGATTGGTCATAAGGACTACCAGGGAAATACTGGAGGCTCTACCTGTTGGTCCACTATCAGTACAGAGAGTACAGGGGGAGGAGAAAACTGATGAGAGATGGAGAAGAGTGCACCTCTAATAAAACGGAAAGGGGCAGGGATTAAAAATGACGTAAACAAAAACTTACTTGAGCAAGATGGAGCAAAAGGCAATAAATAAATAAATAAATAAATAAAAAAGTACAAAAAATTCAAAGTACTGTTTGGGCATCTGAGAGATTTTGGAAGCAAAGTGTAGAAATGTTCACATACAGTAGCTTATTAAAGACGGCTAACATTACTGATTATTAATTATATTAATAAGGAGTATGTTTGCTAACTGGAAGCCGCAGTATAAACGTTAAGGGTGACTGTCCAGCTAAGATGTACATGTTACCTCACTTTTCTGTACAGCAGCCCTGCTGAAAAAAACATAGAAACCATTGCACGATGTTGCCTCAGGGCAACAAAACCAATTTCCTCACTTCGCAATAACTTTATACATATTTAACAGCAATGACAGAGTTAACAATAAAGAGAACAGTTTAAGTCAATAAACAGCATGCAAGTGGTCATACATCTCTTAGAGGACACTTTTAAATCTCTTTTTAAACAATCAGTATCATTTTTTTGTTCTGAGAATTTGCAGAAATATGTTTGTTGCCTAGAAGCAACATTGTGCGACAGTGAAATGGATTTAGCATTTAGGTCTCACCACTTCAGGGAACACGGATCTATTTCATTTCTTCCTATTGTCTAACAACCAAGCAAAAGCTAACCTAGTAAGCATAACTGAGCTAGTAAGGTAGGTCATCTGTCTGTCATCTATTCATTCATCTAATCTGCCATGCCAGCATTCCCTGGATGCACATCCAGCAATAAAGGGAATAAAGACCTTCCCTTCTTCAAGACTTTGCCATATAAAGGCTGGACAATGTTTTAATGAGTGAGTACAACACCGCCAGCACATATAGAAAGCATTCCACTTGTCAGGCCTGGACCATCCAGTGGGTTTTGTGGGTGCATGCTCAGTGGCCTGTGCCACTAGGGGGCCCCTGTGAGTAATTATGAGAACATTTAAACAGCTGTTTTGACTCATGATGGGACATTTACAAGTGCCACAGAGAAAAAATTGAAAGAATTTGTCACTGTGTTATGGCCAATCATAATCCTGAAGCTCTCCACGTCTTTCCTGAACTTCATTTCCACTTCCACTCGTCGCTGTGGCAGTACGCTTTAGCCTGGATGCTTGACAGTTTGGGTTCAATTTTTCTACTATTTTTCAATTGTTATTTACATTTCAGCTGTCTGATTTGAATTTGTCTTCTATACTGGGGTAAATGTGCTTGTAAAGGGTGGACACATGCATTTATAAGGAAAAGGAAGTGTTGCATTGGTTGTTGGTTTTATGTTAACCTGTGTTCTTGTTGATGTGTGTAATCTTGCTATTGTTTTGTCTCGATTGGAAAAAGTTGTGCGCTTTTAGACGTGGCCAAATCCACGGTTGGTATGCTCTCATCATGGTGCTGCATAGGCCTTATGTAACCTGCTGTGATCATAAAAAAGGTAGCCAGACAGGGGTCCACCCAATGTTTGTGCCCAGTGTCTGATAATGTGATGATCCAGGTCTGGCTCATGCTGCTGTGTTTAGTTCTGCTTTAGTGGTGGAGCAGGCAAGGAGTGTTGGACTGAGGGCTGTCAATCATGCATGCTTGTTAAAATATTAGGCCACACCCCCAGACAACTCTCACATAGGTCTGACGAGCAATTTTCACGTATTTTTTTTATATTTCTGTTGTTTTTCCGTGCAAACGTTGCTGGATGTTTAACTTAACACTCATTTTTATTATAATGCAAACATTTTTAATGCTGTACAATGACTTTAAGGGCGGGTCCGAGTCAGTCAACATGCAACTTGTGTCTGAGTTGCTGAGTGGAGTCCCCATCTCTGCCCTGCGGTACTGTCCTTTCCCTCTCTAACTCAACACAAACGTTGACCCATCACCTCTCATTCCCTTTATGTAGTGCATGCACGTTATCCGGGACTCCCTTGTCTTTTTATGTAACTCTGCGTTCCTGAATTTTCAGCTGTTCTGACCTCTGGGGTTCCTGAAGTCCCTGTATTTACTAACATGCACTGCCCACCATAGCAAAGCACTCAGTGTGCCGGACACACTCTGCACTCTGTGGTCTGGCCTTTTCCTCACTGACCGTGTGTGAATGTGTGTATATATATGTGTATGTGTAGTTTTGGGGGCAGAGTATGTGTTGAAATATGAATGAACGATCACACACTGACCACAGGACACACACTTTTGTCTGGTCGGCAGAGATCTTCCTGCACGGTCAGCAGGTGTGTACACACAACTGTGTGTGTAGGTGTTAACGCTTAAGCATCCGTTCAACACACGTCACATTGAGCGGGTGGCGTTTCCCACAGGTCTGAAATAAACCTTGGTGGGGGGGCATGGGGGCTGGGTGGGGATGTTCTAGTAGTGACGGACGTCCAAACTCAGTTCAGTATTTCAGCCTTTGACTGATTGTGCAGCAGTGAACCACAGAAGTGTTGAAACACAAGCAGCTGATATTGTGTCTCGTATTGAACTTATTATATATAACCATAAAAAATGTTGTAATTTGTTAAAATTGGACAAAAATAGGCTGTCAGTGTACCTGGGGGGCACCTAAGTATAGCCTGTGTGGGGAAACACTGATGTTCTTAAGTGTTTCTTTGTACTTGTATTTATATGCTTGTGAGGACCTGAGGTCCCCATATGGATAGTAAAATTGTAATAAATTAAGACTTTGTACAGGCTTTTTAAAGAAATAACATCATATTTACAAAGTTTTACCCATTACAAAGATGCAGTTCATTAGCTAAGATGTTTGCACAAAGCAGGGACAATCATGGTCTTGCGAGGCCCATAAGTGAGTTTGGAGGCCTCCCTGCACTCCAACAATAACTAGATTAAACAATATTTTATGTTATGTTTATATCTACTTTGAGCAACTGGAAATTTGTTGTGTTTGTTGTGAAAGCAAGCAAAAGTAGCCATATTAATGTGCAGTATCCTATTGTGTCTACTTCATAACAGTGTTTGTGTAAGATCTGATTATTTTTGAGTAAAATTTGAATCATGATTTCTTCTTTTTCCTCTCATAATGCAAAACAGTAAACGCTAACATCCCATTTCAAAGGCAAAAACAATACCCCATGAGTAAATACTCACTGGAAATGCAAACCAGGCCTTTCTTTGCTTATTTAGTCACATGTACATATTCAAGGGTTCGTCTAATGCACATGTGTCAGGCTACAGTCCTCACGGGCCAAAACACCGCAGACTTCACCGCGCTGCCTCATTAAACACAACGGATTCAGCTCATCAGCTAATTAGCAAGGCCTTCATGAACTGAATTCAGTGAAACACCAATATCCGCAGACTTTTGGCCTGGAAGGTCCCCAGTTTGACATGCCTGGTCTAATGTTTCCATTTCCAGTGGATTGTCCCAGACATTTAAGCCACCTTGAGCCTTGTGATCTGAGGCCCC